AAAGTGTACTCTGGGTGAGTGAGTGCCTATGTGTGTGTTTATGAGTTCATTGAAACAAAAAGCATCAAATCATCAGTTGATGAGGATTCTTAATGCATTTGCAAGAACAAACTCTTTGATGAGTTTAATATATGACCACGGTATGGAGAAACAGAAGCAAATGTATCAAAGCACATATTTCAAATATTACATGAAAGCTGTAGGCCTACAAGAAAGGACCGTCTTAAAACGGATACATTAGATGTGTACACTACATACCGAAAAGCAAAGATTTTTAAGTATGCACTGTACAGTGCCCTCTAAAAGTTTGGAAATGTATCAGCATACTCTTATTACACAATCATGCCTCTTTTGCAACTGTGATGCTTGATTACAGTATTCAATTTGGCCCAAGCTTTTTTTTTTTTTTGGGGGGGGGGGGTCATTTTTGAGGAAACATGCCTCTACTGTCTGATTGCCAATTAAATTTGGACACAACAGTCCCATCAGAACACAGTTTGGAGATGCTCTAAGCATAGCTCTAGTATTTTTCTATGTTTGCACAGTTTGTGTTGTACCTAGTCAACTCAAAGTCATCACAAAATTATGACAAATTTATGCTGACATTCTTCAAAACCCCACTTCTCCTGGGATGTTTCCAAACTTTGAACATCATTAGGTTGGCTTGAGAAGCTTCCCTTCTATGTACTATTTCTTATCAATTTAAACTCATTCAGACTCATCTATCTAATATTTCTAATCTATCTATCTATCTATCTATCTATCTATCCTAGCGACATGCTAATCATGCTAGAAACATACTAACAACATGATAGTAGCATGCTAATCATGCTAGCAACATGCTATTAACATGCTAATCATGCTAGAAACATGCTAGCGACATGCTAGTAACTTGCTAATCATGCTAAGTAGCATGCTAATCATGCTAGCAACATGCTAGTTACTTGCTAATCCTGCAAGCAACATGCTAGTAACATGCTAATAATGCTAGCGACATGCTAGTAACTTGCTAATCATGTTAACAACATGCTTGTTACTTGTTAATCATGCTAGCAACATGCTAGTAACATTCTAATCATGCTAGAAAAATCCAAGCGACATGCTAGTAATTTGCTAATCATGCTAGAAACATGCTAGTCACTTGCTAATCATTCTAGCAACATGCTAGTAGCATGCTAATTATGCTAGCAACATGCTAGTAACATGTTAATCAGGCTAGAAACATGCTAGTGACATGCTAGTAACTTGTTAATAATGCTAGCGGCATGATAGTCACTTGCTAGTCATGCTAGCAACATGCTAGTTACTTGCTAATCATGCTAGCAACATGCTAGTTACTTGTTAATCATGCTAGCAACATGGTAGTAGCATGCTAATCATGTTAGCAACATGCTAATCATGCTAGCAACAAGCTGGAAGCATGCTAGTTACTTGCTAATCATGCTAGCAACATGCTAGTTACTTGCTAATCATGCTAGCAACATGCTAGTTACTTGCTAATCATGCTAGCAACATGCTAATCATGCCAGCAATATGCTAGAAACATGCTAGTGACATGCTAGTAAATTGTTAATCATGCTAGAAACATGATAGTCCCTTGTTAATAATGTTAGCAACATGCTAGTTACTTTCATGTTAAAAACATGCTAATCATGCTAGAAACATGTTATCAACATCTATCTAATCTATCTAAATTTTCAAACTTCAGGCTTTTACAATTGCTTTAAACTTTCAGGCTAGGCTTTCTCAAGCCAACCTAAAGTTTGTCTTGACTAACTTTTTTATCTAGTTTTGAACTTGATCGACAATAGAATAGGTAGTCCTGAATGTAGTGAGTCATGTTGAAATCCACACAATGAGTGCACCCACTGAAAAAAACAAACAAACAGAAAAAACTGAAAAAAAATAAGCCACTTACATAGTTTATCATCTGCGTAAAAAGTACACTTCAGCACGCTTAACCCATAACCATGATTTATGACAGCCTAAATTTAGGAAAATTTCACTACAGATGTTTATGATTACTATAAGCACAGCGTAGAATGCCATTTTATAATCTTTTCAGCGAGTGAACAATGGCTAATGGCTTGAGGCTATTGCCAGATGTGGCGCTGAATGTGTAACAGGAAGTGGATGGGAGGGAGAAGAGAAAACTTACTAACGCAGCACTAACTGAGTTCCATCAGGGTGCAAAGGCACAATACTCTGCACAGAATGACCAAGGCAAATCTCTATTCTTCACTGAAGTGCTCTTGTGTGATGTGTGTTTAGCTCACGATCCCTATATATACAATATTCGTGAGAATGCATTAACACGGGAAAGGATAGATGAGAAAGTCAGATGAGGTTCAAGGGAAAGGCAGGACAGGGAAAATAAAAAAAAGAAAATGATCATGCCCCCTAGGCCTCTATTGACAAAAACGTCAGTGTTTGACCTGATGGAGGGAAAAGAAGTAGGGTACTGACTGACAGGGTGAGGCAGGGTAAGAGACAGATGGTGAGAGAGAGGGAGAAAGAGAGCAGAGGAGAAAATTATAGACAAGAGGAGAATGAGAAAATGAGAAAGGCAAGGGGAGGAAAAAAAAAAATTCACAAGGACACATATAGAGAAAATACTCTGCCACACACATACACAGTTAAAGGATGTTTGGCAAATTCAAGAGATGTTACTGTTTCAGTTTATGCATAAACAGGGAATTTGTTTGAACAGCAACCCATGCTGTAGAATGCTAATTTCATGTAAAACAAACCACAATCAAATGTATGTGTGTGTTTGCCTTACAGCATATCCTAAAGCTAACAGGAATCCCCAGAACTCCCTTCCGGTCAAACCTGACATCCCTCTCAACTTGTCTCTTGATGTCTCCGTCTCCTCCCTTCTTCCCATACAGGGAGAAAGCATTAGTCATTCATAGCTCAATCTGTGAATGGGTGGTGCGATTCATGGCTGCTCTTCATTTTTATCTGTATTTTTAGCTTACCATTGTAAACTGCCTTTTTCATTACAGTTGTACAGTACAACCTATAACGTTTGTAAATCTGCACACGCTGTTAATGGCCACTGCATTATTAATTTGAAGTTTATTATTGGTCAGTCTAGTCTGCATGGTGCAGTTGTCTTGCACATTTGCTGATCATTAGTTCATGAGTTTTTGAACCGTTCCTGGAGCCTCACCAGCAGGAATGGTTTAAAAACCCTTGCTATAGTTCATTTCACGATCATTATTTTTTAGTATTTTAGGAGATCCACAACAGACACCAAGAAATCTATCAGTCTAACAGTCTCATTAGCAATAGGATTATCCTGAGATAAACTGTAGCCAAAATTTCAATTCACACTTTCTCCTAAAGGGGGAGACCTTTTAAGGGTAACTTGTCACTGTGCCATTTAAGGTAGTACTTATAAGCCTATGAGTCAAAAATCTACCACATATTTTTTGTGTGTGTTTTCATTAGCAGTAGTGTTCTTGTGGTTATGCTGGTTTTAAACACACAAGTTAGTTCATAAATTCTGTCCTCCAGATGCAGATTCAACAGGTTCTGTCCATGGTTCCGAATGTGACACATGGCATGTGGTTGTTGCTGTCCATGGTGCTGATTTTTAAAACAGACAGGCATATATACATACTGTAAGTGTGTGTTTGAGTAGATTGTTTAGAGATTTTACAGAATTTTTATTTTCTCTCGAACGTCCTACACTGGGGGGAAAAAAATCAAGTTCGCCAATTTAAGACAGTATGAATGTGCAGTGGAAACATGCGGGACATTAATCATCAAATGTTTACTGCAACATCATTCTTCTAAATAACTTTTTCAGCTAAGACAAACAAAACACAGCGATTCCCAGAGTCACTTACAGTTAATAGTTTAAAATGCATGTATGGAGCCCGGTGTGGACTGTTGTCAGCAAAAATTGACTCAATCAATTCCACTCCACCACTGCAGTTGTGTGTGTGCTGAGAAAATCCTTCCTTATTTAATAAAAACTATCTTTGCCAAACTCAAATGTCAAAAGCTTAAAATAGATCCCAATTTTGTTGCCAGTTAAGTTGATGTAAAGTCTTAGATGTCTTCTGTTACTTCTGCACAACATTTACGCCTAACAGGATAAAAAAAAAAAAAACTTGAATACTTACTGCACTGTCTACTCTCTCTCCCCCTACAGTCTGTGTAATTGATTGTGTGATGGTGTGCATGTGTACTCGAGCCTTGAGTATTTATCGAGCTATGTGTTGGTTTTGTTATTGCTTTTGATAGCGTTTGATGCGTTTTGTTTTTTACTGTATTTGAACATGTGTGCCCGTTTTAAGGGTTCTCTAACCACGCCATTGACACAGATAAAACTGAACCCAGATTATAAATCACTACTGTCCATTAAAACATACATTCACCATAAACCAGTTTTACACACTTTTAACATACATGTGTTTGCCTCATTCTCTCTAACCTTGGCTGTGATTTGGGAAACCCACTAAAGTGCCTCTGTGGCTTATCCACAGACACACACGCACACACACACACACACACACACACACACACATATATATATATATATATATATATATATATATATATATATATATATATATATATATATATATATATATATATATATATATATAGTGTAGTATAGTCATTCCCAACACAACATCAATGGCACAACCAAAAAATGTATTCATTAATTAAATATTAAAATTCCCCTCCCTCCTTTCCCACTATACCAACACCAAATCCACAGACCAGCTGCAATTCGCATGACTGGCGCCCTTTTCTTCGGCTACCGCATAAACGCGAAACAAAATAGCCACTTTCTGCCGCGATCATGATCTACGGGCGCGCTTATGCGGAGTGACAGGAACAAGCTGCGCTGAACTCATTGTGCTATTCGCTGCTCTCTCTGTAGGCTACCCCCTACACACACATAGATGAGTAGCTATTGTGTCTCATCCTAAAACTACATTCAGTATATTTTGCGAAGTGTAAGCGAGTGGGGGACTCACCTGATTTTTGCCCCGCTGTCCGTCTTCGAGTTCCGGTGAGCTGTTCATGATTCCCCATCGATCATTGAGCATTCTCCGGAGAAGAACAAACCTTAAACCGCCTGTCAGTTACAGGCGGTGTGGGGGGGGAGGGGGGGAACAAGACACTTTGTCGTTCACTCGTCTTCCTGATAAGTTATTCCATGGAAATAGACAAATAACCTTTGGGGGAAAAGAAGAAAAGGAGAATGTGGAGAGTGCGTGAGATCGAGAAGACACTGATCTAGCCTCTACTCCGGGACCACACTGACTAATTCTGGTCTAAAAGGGGCGGTGAAGACTCTCGCACCACACACATCGTAATATCATACGTACTTGATAAGGAAAATAATAATAAATAAATAAAACTCCTCAAATTTCCATAAGCAGTTCTTCAAAGTATTTTTCTTTCCTTCTGGAGCGTTGAATAAAGTACTCAGATATTCCACACTAAGTAACAGGGGGGAAAAACGGCGCGAATCAAGTCGACGCACGCGTGTCGTTGCGTTGCGTGCCAACGCAACTCAAAACACACAAAAAAATATTCTGATGTTTTTGTCCAAACACGAATAACGGGAATTCAGTCCCGAAGAGTCGTTTAAAAGTGATACAACTTTGTATTCCTGAGCCGTTAGCGGGATGGACAGATTGTGGCGGTAAAGATGCTGTGATTTGAGGAGGGAATTCAATCCGTTTCCCAGGGTGTCTAGTTTACCGGACAGAGGACGAGGGATGTCTCGTTTTGACAAAACTAGCGCGGCAGGGCAGATTAACGGGGTTCCTACTCGCGAGCCAAGCTCCTCGCTCTCCTCCAGAAGCTGTCCGTTATGCGCGCTCCCGGTGCGCGCTCAGTTTCGCTCCCAGACACCGTCGGCACTGATACGACTTTTCCACACCCCTCGTCTAGTGTAAGAAACTCCCACTCCACTCTCAGTAGCTCAACATGCAGTAAAAGCACCCGTCACGAAAGACTGGATGAGCGATGGAAGCCAAATTGAATTCGAGGACGCAATACAATAACTGAAGTTGTTTTTAAATGAGCAGTTCATTTTATTATATAAGCCTCATCAAAATGATACTTGAAGCGCACTGTTTGAGCCAACCGAAACCGTTATGATTTGGAGCACAGATGTTTTTGTCATGTTATCCATTATAGATATTCTACCCTTGCCAGTTGCTGGTGATTACATCTGAAAGCACAGAGATTAATCAGGCGATCATCTCAGTGTCAGTCAGTTTAGCAACAATCACATTTTCCCCACAATTACTGAAAAGACGCAGGTGCAATCCACGTGATAAAAGGGTCAATGCAATAATGAGATGATTAGGCCCAAGTGCCCCATATGGAAACATATTGAGGTCAGGACCGTCACTAGCGGGAAGAAAGGTAGTGATGATTCTATGCCTCCCCAGCGTGCCACTGGCCCTCTCAGATTTACAGCTGGCCCACCCAATCAAATGAGGAAAGAAGAAAAATCCTGCATACATACAATAATTGCTCAAATGCATGAACATATGAACAACTTGCATGTGTAAACTTAAAAAATAAAAAAAATAAGTAAGTAGTAATAAGATCCTAGTGGATGAGCACTGATCTTCCAGTTTTGTGCTTCTATTCTGTGGCAAACGCAAAGCTGTCAATATACAGGTGCATCTCAATAAATTAGAATGTCGTGGAAAAGTTCATTTCAGTAATTCAACTCAAATTTTGAACAATCCAATTCAAGTGTGCTACCGCTGTAACAGTTCTCGATTTGTCTTTACTCATCGTCCGACTCCCACCCATCACACCTGAGATACAGTTTCTATAGGTTGAACTTCCCGACGATTTCAAATGACATTGGAAAACACCACATCATCATCGTCATAGTGACACAATAAGATTGTGGATGTTCAAAGCAAAATATAATGTCACTCTAAAGGCTGGAATACACTATACAACTTTTGCCCTGCTTTTCCCCTGATTTACAGCCTGGAGAAGTTGACGCTAGTTGCCGAAAGTCAGAGGCAGTCTGCAGATTTGAGTTGACACTTACTAACTTTGTAATAAGTTAGTAATAAGAGGAAAACTGGCCCTCATACACTAAACGACTGAGGATCACACACTTCCAGACTTTAAAGTAGTTCCGATCACAATAAACTAAAATATTTTATGACATGACACCTTGTACTTAAGTAAAAAAGATGGGGTTTATGCATAGGTAATAGTTTATTAGGCTACTTTTAGTAGATACTGTAATGCAATTTTTAGCTGTTGAAATTTGCATACCTATTTTTATCTAATGTAGGCTATCGTAAAAATATTTTTGAAATAGGCACTGAGGTCCACTCTATGTCACCATGGTCCACTCAGTTTAAAATTTCTGGCCTCACTTTCACTTTTGCAAACAAAGGCACAGGTATTATGTATCATTAAAAACTATACTGAAGAGTTTTCAGTACAGTTTAACTTTTACTCTAATCTCATATGGATGCACACATATCAGTACAGAGAGAGTGTGCTAACTTTGATGTAACAGGATTGAAGAGGTGCAGCATCTAAACCCTCTACAGGGCCTCAGGAAACTGCCGCCCCATGCTGAGATTACTTGGTAGACAGAGGAGAGCTTTTGGATGCAGGTGTAGGTGTGTGTGTGTGTGTGTGTGTGCGCGTTTTTGTGACAAATGAGGACATGAATTTGTATAATGACAAGGGTATGACATAGGTATTACAAGGAGAAGGTGACTTTTCAGGACATTACCCCATGTCCCCACTTTTCAAAATGCATATAAATCACACACAATGGAGTGTATTGAAAATCTGAAATAGCACAAAGTTTCCTGTAAGGTGTGTGTGTTAGTTGGAGTGTCCAGTAAGACCTGCATCTCAGTCAGAAGCCTTAGGCAAGCGATGCTGGAAAGACTTAAACTGAAAAGGGGGCGGGTGCACCTTCCTATGATAAATGTGGACACCAGCTGTATTTACATCTTATTCTTTGCATGTTTGTCTGAGTTGTCTTGGCTTAGAATACAATATGTTCTGTTTTTAACATAAAAAATTGTGCTCTGTCTTTGTATGTGTGCTTGCAGAAGTGTGTTTTCACGGATGGTGGAGCATGACGACAGAAGCAGAGATCTGTGAAGAGGCAGTGGCCTGCATGCTCTCCCTCAAATGCCAGAGTCAAACTTTGTAAAACATTTTGGGGAGAAGGCAAGGGACAGCTGATTTTTAAAAGGGAGGGGGGGCAATGATTTTTTTTTTTTTTTAGAACTCTAGTTCTTAGAAATGCACTCTTTGTATTCATGTTGGTTTCATATTCTGAAACTTTTATACCATATTCTAGAAATGTTTAAAATTAATCATTCTAAAAATGAAATGTGGTATAATTGACTAAATTCTTATTTTCAAAAAAGTTTTTAAATACATATTTTGTTTATAAATATGAATAATTAATTCATTAATTCATGAATAGTATTTGATGTTTTCTAATGTACTAAACATTTCGGGAAATCTCACACATCTAACACAATCTTTCACAACATGAACTACCCATGCTTTGTCGATGTTTTCCAAATATTTGAAGCAGTGAAGCAGTTTTGTTTAAATTAATCCAAACTACATTCTTCTTTTCTACTTTTTAATTTTTAATGAGGCAATTAAAAGGCTTATGCCACCCCCAAAAAACGATATACAATTAATTTTAATTCAGAGAGTAAAACCGTGCCATTAAAGAAGAGCTGTAAAGATCTGTGACTTTCAAAGGAAAATGAGCATCATGTCATTGACCCATAAATGTCTGTAGAAACTTAAAAATAAAAAGAAGTCAGTGGCATAGTACTTGACTCACTGTGATAATTGAAGGGTGTTTCTCAAAGAGGTGAAAGTAACCCTGGCATCCTGGCCAAATTTGCCCATCAGCTACTATCAGTCATGCCTACAAATCATTCCCATGTACACTGACTGGCTACAGTCTGATAGCTTGTGTGATGGGCGTTCTGATGCCCATGATGTTCTCTGATGAAGGAGATTTTCCCACTCTCTCTGTAAAGTGTGAGGAAAAAAAACATATAACACATTACAATTATTATTCTCCTCACACAATTCATCCAATTCAGAAAGAGACAGTTAACTAAAGCTTCAAATGATAGTATGTGTTTTGTACTATTAGACACAAAATAAGTCATGCACACACACAAAGAGATAAATGTAAAGAAACTGAAAATTGAATTAAACCAGACTGTGCCACACTCGCCTTCAAACAGTGTGGTCCAAAAATCAATAAAAGGTCCAGGTGAACAAAGGAAGCAGTCCTATTAATATATAATGATAGTGTGAGGGAGAAACCGAGAGAGAGGGGGAAAAGGGCGAGGAAAGAGGAGGATGAGCTTTGTATATTGTAAGCCTTGATGACAACAATATATTGTGGAACTGAAGAGAGTGGAGCAGAGAAAGACGAGCAGTGATTTTCCCCCACTGTTTCCCAGGATTGGTTGGGAATGAAGCTATAACTGCTGCAGTAAAGAGAGAAGCAGCAAAGTGAAAAGTGAAGGAAGGAATCCTTTTATTGATTCGCTCTCACATCACATGCTCTGCCCTTCTCTGCAATTCAGCATCTCTCTCTCATCACGTGCATACACACACACACACACACACACACACACAGGCAGGAGAGCTTGGCACATAAAAGGTGACATTCACTGATTGAGTAATTAGCAATAGCAAATCACATGTGATCAGTGATGCTGATGATGTAGTGATGATGATAATCATCAAATAACAAAATAGAGCAATAGGTCCACTGAACATCAAATACTAGACTAAGATTTTAAATCAAATAGTTAATTAATGAACAGTTATTTTTCACATAAATGCTGTTTTCCTTAACTTTCTATTCATACAAGAATCCTGTAATTGTTTTCAACATTGATGATAATGAGATTGATAATAATAAAGTTTCTTGAGCAAATCACCAAATCAGAACTATTTCTGAAGGATCGAGACACTGAAGTCTGAAGTAATGGCTGCTGATAATTCAGCTTTGCTATCATGGGAACAAACAATATTTATAATTCATATAATTTGTTATATATTTTAAAGACATTTTAAGTCATTTCGGTCCAAATATAGCATTTGGCACCGTTAACTTTCATTGTATGAAATAAATAAATAAATAAATAAATAAGTGATACATTTTTCATTGTTCAAAAGACAAGTTTAGAACAACAAGAGGGTGAGTAAATTGTGACCCTTGTCATTTTTGTGTGAACTGTCCATGTACGTTTTCAGAGTCCTTAAGCTTTTATTTTAGAATTGAATCAGAAATGTATCATTTCATGAGTTGTTCTTTAAATAAAGATGTGAGTTTGACCTGAAACAACCCGCGGTTTCTGTCTTAAGTAGCTCTGTTAGAAAAGTAAAACAGTTATTTAAAAATTAAATGTGATCAGCAGGAAAGGCTGAACAGGTTGAAATAAGCTCATGTCAGGCTGA